GAAAAAAGGGAGAAAAAGAGGGAAAAACGGTAGAAAAAGAGGGGGAAAAGGGGGAAAATCAGGGAAAAAAGGGAGAAAATCAGGGAAAATAAGGAGAAAAAGAGGGAAAAAAGGGGAAAATCACAGAAAAAGAGGGAAAAACAGGAGAAAAAAGAGGGGGAAAAGGGGGAAAATCAGGGAAAAAGGGGGAAAATCATGGAAAAAAAGGCAGAAATTCAGGGAAAAAAGGGGGGGAAGGGGGAATATCATGGAAAAAAGGGGGGAAAAGAGGGGAAAAGGGGAAAATCAGGGAAAAAAGGCAGAAAATCAGGGGAAAAAGAGGGGAAAGGAGGGAAAAAAGGGGGAAATCAGGGGGAAAAGGGGGGAAAAGAGGGAAAATCAGGGTAAAAGGTGGAAAATCATGGAAAAAACTGGGGAAATCAGGGAAAGATGGAGAAAAATCAGGGAAAAAAGGGGGGAAAACAGGGAAAAAAGGGGGAAATCATGGAAAAAAGGCTGAAAATCAGGGAGAAAACAGGGGAAAATAGGGAAAAAAGGGGGAAAAGAGGGAAAAAAGGGGGAAAAGAGGGAAAAAAGGGGGAAAAGAGGGAAAAAAGGGGGAAAAGAGGGAAAAAAGGGGGAAAAGAGGGAAAAAAGGGGGAAAAGAGGGAAAAAAGGGGGAAAGCAGGGAAAAAGGGGGAAATCAGGGGAAAAAGGGGGGAAAAGAGGGAAAATCAGGGTAAAAGGTGGAAAATCATGGAAAAAAACTGAGGAAATCAGGGAAAGATGGAGAAAAATCAGGGAAAAAAGGGGGGAAAACAGGGAAAAAAGGGGGAAATCATGGAAAAAAGGCTGAAAATCAGGGAGAAAACAGGGGAAAAGAGGGAAAAAAGGGGGAAAAGAGGGAAAAAAGGGGGAAATCAGGGAAAAAGGTGGAAAATCAGGGAAAAAAGAGGGAAATCAGGGGAAAAACAGGGGAATAGAGGGAAAAAAGGGGGAAATCAGGGAAAAAAGAGGGGAAAAGAGGGGAAAAGGGGGGAAAAGGGAGGGAAATCAGGGGAAAAAGAGGGAAATCGGGGCAAAACAGGGGAAAAGAGGGAAAAAAGGGGGAAAAGAGGGAAAAAAGGGGGGAAAAGAGGGAAAAAATGGGGAAAATCAGGGAGAAAAGGAGGGAAAAGAGGGGAAAAAGAGGGGAAAAGAGGGGAAAAGGGGGGGAAATCAGGGGAAAAAGAGGGGAAAAGAGGGGAAAAAGAGGGGAAAAGAGGGAAAAAAGGGGGAAATCAGGAGAAAAGAGGGAAAAAAGGGGGAAATCAGGGGAAAAGAGGGGGAAATCAGGGGAAAAAGAGGGCAAAAGAGGGCTTGGGCCAGGCACGCACCGGGAGGAGGCTCTGTGGGCCGGCGCCGAGGCTCCCGGGGCCGCGGCCGAGCGCTGNTGGGGGGGAAAAGGTGGGCTTTGGGGGTGAAAAGTTGGGATTTGGGGGATAAAAATGGGATTTTCGGGGGCAAAAGGTGGGATTTGGGGGGAAATCAGTGGGATACAAGGGAAAAAACAGGATTTGGGAGTGAAAAATCGTTGTCTGGGAATGAAAAATTGGGATTTGGGAATAAAAAAGCTGGGATTTTGGGGGGAAAATGCTGGGATTTGGGGAGAAAATGTTTGGATTTGAGATGAAAAGGTTGGGATTGGGGGTGGAAACGTTGGGAATCTCACCTGGGGGGGCTGATTTTCCGGCCTTTCAGCCGCTTCTCCCGGAATTCCCGGCGCTGCCGGCGGGAGCGGCGGCCCTGGGGAAGGGATTGGAGGTCAGGAAAGGATTTTTTGGGGATTTTCCCAGGGGAAATTCCCGTTTTTTCTGTGTTTTTTCCAGGTTTTTCCCTCACCGAGTACATGGCCTTCTCCTCCTCCAGGGCCTTGGCGTTTTTGATGGCTTCGGCCTCTTCCTTGTCCTTCCTCAGCATCCTTTTTCCAGGAGAAAAAAATGGGATCAGGGTGGGGTTTTGGGGGAGATCCCGAATTCTGAGGAGAAGGGGAAGCCCTGAGCCGGAAAGTCAGGGAAAAATGGGATTTTAAAGGCGGAATTTCAGGGTAAAATGGGATTTTCAAGGAAAGATTTCAGGGAAAAGGGAAAGTCTGGAAAAACCAGGGGGGAATCCTCAGGAAAACCAGGGAGATCTGTGGCAGAATTCCGAGGAAAATGGGATTTCCAGGAGAAAATCCTAACGGAAAATGGGATTTCTAGGAAAGAATCCCAAGGGGAAATGGGATTTCTAGGAGAGAATCCCAAGGAAAAGTGGGATTCACAAGCCAAAGTCCCAAGGAAAAACAGGATTCCTGAACCAAAATCCCCAGGAAAAATGGGATTTCCAGCAAACAATCCCACAGAAAAACAGGATTCCCGAGCCGAAATCCCAAGGAAAAATGGGATTCCTGAACCAAAATCCCCAGGAAAAATGTGATTTCCAGCAAACAATGCCATGGGAAAACAGGATTCCCAAGCCGAAATCCCAAGGAAAAACGGGATTCCTGAACCAAAATCCCCAGGAAAAATGGGATTTCCAGCAAAGAATCCCACAGGAAAACAGGATTCCCAAGCCGAAATCCCAAGGGAAAATGGGATTCCCACGGAAAAGCAGGAGCCCTTGCCGGGGTGGTTTTGGGGTAGGATCCCGGCTCTTCCCGAGGTTTTTCCGGGCCATACCTGACGAAATCCCCCTCGGCCATGCCGTAGGTGGTGGCCTGCTTGTTCAGGTCAGCCACTTGCTCCTGGTTCAGCTCATCCACGTCCACCTCCACGTCTGGAAAAACGCCCGGAAAATCCTGGAATTCCGCCCGGCAACGATCCCCGAATCCCGGCCGAAAGCCTCGGATGCTTTGTTACCGATGTCCGGGATCACTTCGTCCTCGTCGGTGTTGGAGTCTTCCTCGGAGTCCTCCTCGTCCCCGGCTCGTTTTTCCAGGGAATTTTCCAGCTCCTCCACCGTGCTGTCCTCGTAGGTGTAGCCTATGGAAGCCTTTTTTTCCGCCAGCCTGGGGAGGTTTGGGACACAAATCCCTCCAGCCCGGGGCTTTTCCCCACGCGGAGATCCCCCTCGGGAAGGCCGAGGCCCCGGAGAGGCCGGCCCGGGGATCGCCTCGGAGGGAGAAGGGGAATCGTGAGGGGGAATGGGAATTGTGAGGGGGAATTGTGAGGGGAAATGGGAATTGTGAGGGGGAATGGGAATTGTGAGGGGAAAGGGGAATCGTGAGGGGGAATCGTGAGGGGAAAGGGGAATTGTGAGGGGAAAGGGGAATCGTGAAGGGGAATCGTGAGGGGAAGTGGGAATTCTGAGGGGAAATGGGAATTGTGAGGGGAAAGGGGAATTGTGAAGGGGAATCGTGAGGGGAAGTGGGAATTCTGAGGGGAAATGGGAATTGTGAGGGGGAATGGGAATTCTGAGGGGACATGGGAATTCTGAGGGGAAATGGGAATTGTGAGGGGAAATCGTGAGGGGGAATGGGAATCGTGAGGGAAAATGGGAATTGTGAGGGGAAATAGGAATTCTGAGGGGAAATGGGAATTGAGAGGGAAAAGGGGAATGGTGAGGGGGAATTGTGAGGCAAAATGGGAATTCTGAGAGGAAATTGTGAGGGAAAATGGGAATTCTGAGGGGGAATTCTGAGGGAAAATGGGAATTCTAAGGGGAATTGTGAGGGAAAATGGGAGCCCTGAGCAAAAATTCTGAGGGAAAACGGGAATTCCGAGTTCGAATTTTGAGGGGAAAATGGGAATTCTGAGGGAAAATGGAAAATCTGAGCTGGAATTCAGAGGAAAAATGGGAAATACAAGCAGGAATTCTGAGGGAAAATGGGAATCCCGAGCCAGAAACCCCCAGACAAAACCAGGAGCCCTTCCCAGGATGATTTTGGGGGAGATTCCAGCAAAGGTGTGAGGGGAAAAACTGGGATTGAGGGCATTATCCCAGAATTAGGATCATTCCCGAGGGTGTGGGGGTGCATTCCCGGTGATTTCCCAGCTGGAATTCCCAGGAATTCTGACTTTTTTTCCCCCCCTCACTTTTTCTTCTCATCCTCGTTGGGTTTCTGCAGGCCCCCGTAGAGCTCGTCGATGTAGATCTGGTACAGGCACTGCTCCTCCGAGACTGCGATTGGGAATTTTGGGATCAAATCATTCCCCAAACCCCTCAGCAACCACCCCCAGGGATCCAGAGGGGCCGGAATTCCCATAAAAAACAGGAAAAAAGGGACTCACTGCCAGCGAAGTCGTTCTGCACCAGGCCCCGGTACCGCTCGTAGTTGCATTTGCGCTCGTCCGACTCCTGCTCTGGTGAGCTGGAAAAATGGGAATTCTGAGGGGATTTTGGGATCAAAACGGGAATTTTGGGAGTTAAAGGTGGATTTTGAGGGCCCAAAGTGGATTGGGGGGGGGAAAAAACTGGATTTGGGGGAGAAAAAACTGGATTTGGGGGAGAAAAAACTGGATTTGGGGGAGAAAAAACTGGATTTGGGGGAGAAAAAAGGTGGAGTATGAGAGCCTTCCCTCCTCCCAGTTGCGTTTGCGCTCATCCGATTCCTGCTCAGGTGAGCTGGAAAAATGGCAATTCTGAGGGGATTTTGGGATCAAAACGGGAATTTTGGGAGTTAAAGGTGGATTTTGAGGGCCCAAAGTGGATTGGGGGGGGGAAAAAACTGGATTTGGGGGGAAAAAAGGGTAGATTATGAGGGCCTTCCCTCCTCACAGTTGCGTTTGCGCTCATCCGATTCCTGCTCTGGTGAGCTGGAAAAATGGGAATTCTGAGGGGATTTTGGGATCAAAACGGGAATTTTAGGTGTGAGGGGAAAAACTGGGATTGAGGGCATTATCCCAGAATTAGGATCATTCCCGAGGGTGTGGGGGTGCATTCCCGGTGATTTCCCAGCTGGAATTCCCAGGAATTCTGACTTTTTTTCCCCCCCTCACTTTTTCTTCTCATCCTCGTTGGGTTTCTGCAGGCCCCCGTAGAGCTCGTCGATGTAGATCTGGTACAGGCACTGCTCCTCCGAGACTGCGATTGGGAATTTTGGGATCAAATCATTCCCCAAACCCCTCAGCAACCACCCCCAGGGATCCAGAGGGGCCGGAATTCCCATAAAAAACAGGAAAAAAGGGACTCACTGCCAGCGAAGTCGTTCTGCACCAGGCCCCGGTACCGCTCGTAGTTGCATTTGCGCTCGTCCGACTCCTGCTCTGGTGAGCTGGAAAAATGGGAATTCTGAGGGGATTTTGGGATCAAAACGGGAGTTTTGGGGGTTAAAGGTGGATTTTGAGGTCCCAAAGTGGATTGGGGGGGGGAAAAAACTGGATTTGGGGGGAAAAAAAGGGGGGATTATGAGGGCCTTCCCTCCTCACAGTTGCGTTTGCGCTCATCCGATTCCTGCTCTGGTGAGCTGCAAAAACGGGAATTCTGAGGGGATTTTGGGATCAAAACGGGAATTTTGGGAGTTAAAGGTGGATTTTGAGGTCCCAAAGTGGATTTGGGGGGGAAAAAACTGGATTTGGGGGAGAAAAAAGGTGGAGTATGAGAGCCTTCCCTCCTCACAGTTGCGTTTGCGCTCATCCGATTCCTGCTCTGGTGAGCTGGAAAAACGGGAATTCTGAGGGGATTTTGGGATCAAAACGGGAATTTTGGGGGTTAAAGGTGGATTTTAGGGATCAAAGAAATATTTTGTGCTAAAAAAAGCCGGATTTGAGGGGAAAAAAGGCAGATTTTTAGGGATCTTCCCCACCCCCCCCTCATAATTACATTTGTGTGCAGTTACATTTTTCGATTCCTGCTCTGGTGAGTTGGAATGGATTTGGGGGAGAAAAAAGGTGGAGTATGAGAGCCTTCCCTCCTCACAGTTGCGTTTGCGCTCATCCGATTCCTGCTCTGGTGAGCTGCAAAAACGGGAAATCTGAGGGGATTTTGGGATCAAAACGGGAATTTTGGGGGTTAAAGGTGGATTTTAGGGATCAAAGAAATATTTTGTGCTAAAAAAAGCCGGATTTGAGGGGAAAAAAGGCAGATTTTTAGGGATCTTCCCCCCCCCCATAATTACATTTGTGTGCAGTTACATTTTTCGATTCCTGCTCTGGTGAGTTGGAAAAATGGGAATTCTGAAGGGATTTTGAGATCAAAACAGGGATTTCAGGGTTCAGAGTGAGATTTTGGGGATCCAGTGTGCATTTTATGGGTTCAAAGTGAGATTCTGAGGATCCAAAAGGGGATTTTTGTTTAAAAAAAGAGCAATTTTATGGCTCCAAAGGGGGATTTTGGCTGTCAAACACAGATTTTTACAAATCCAACGTGGACTTTTGGGATTAAAACAGGAATTGTTGGGATCAAAGGCGGAATTTGGGCACTTAAAGCAGAATTTCAGGAGATTTTCCGAGACCAAATGCAGGTTTTGGGGTCAAAACACAGATTGAGGACCCTCCCACCCAGCCCTGGCGGGACCCCAGCCCCAAAACCGCTGAGAATTCCTGGGGAATTTTTTTGGGAATCTTACGGGGATTTTTTTGGGAATCTTATGGGGATTTTTTGGGGGTCTTACGTGGGGCTGAGCAAGGCCGGGGTGTACATGGGGATGAAATCCAGGTGAGCACGGACGTCGAACCTGTCGATCATGTTGTTGGTGTCTCCCTGCCAGGGCATCCTGCCGGGAAAAACCGAGCCTTGGGAACGGGAAAAATCCTGGAATTCCCACCCAGAATGGTCAGAATTCCACCCTTTCCTTCAGCAAAAAAAAGGGGGAAAGGCGGTTCCCCCAAAAAGCTGAGTTTTCTTTGGAGCAAAAAGTTAAATTTCATTTTGGGGGAAATTATCCAGCTCTGGGGGTGATTCCAGAGTGAGGATCCCATGGGATTTTCTCCCTGGAATGAGCAGAATTCCTCCTTCCCATCAGCAAAAAAAATGGGAGTGATAATTCCAATAAAAATCTGAATTCTCCCCAGATTTGCCCAAAACCACCCAAATTCCAACCCCTGGGAAATCCCGGATTTCTCCATCCCTGGGGGGCGATCCCAGGAATATTCCAGAGGCAATCCCATGGAATTCCAGGCGGGAATTCCCGGCCCAGGCTCACATGTTGACGGGGCTCTCGGCCGCCAGGGCCACGGCGGAGTCCAGGTGAACCTTGCAGGCCCGGCCGTGCACCTGCAGGAACTGGGCCGGGTCCTTTTTCTGGGAAAAACGGGAAAATCCCGGGATTAGGGACAGGGGAAACCGGGGAAAAGTCAGGGGAAAATTGGGGAAAAGTTGGGAAAAGTCAGGGGGAAAATTGAGGGAAAAAATGGGAAAAATGGGGGAAAAGTTGGGAAAAGTCAGGGGGAAAATTGAGGGAAAAACTGGGGAAAAGTCAGGGGGAATATCGGGAGGAATTGGGGGGAAAGCTGGGAAAAGTCAGGGAGAAAATTGAGGGAAAAAATGGGAAAAATGGGGGAAAAGTTGGGAAACGTCACGGGGAAAATCAGGGGGAATAGGGAAAAGGCAGGGGAGAATTCCCAGGAAAATCCTGGAATTAGGGATGGGGGGAAAGGTGGGAATGGGGGGAGAATTCCCAGGTAAAACGGGGATATGGGAAGGGGCTGGAATGGGGGAGAAAGGGGAGTTCTGGGGCAGAATTCCCAGGAAAAATGGGAATATTGGCCACCAAACTGGGAAAGGGACCCCCAAACTGGGACAGGGACCCCCCAAACCGGGCCAAGACGCCCCCACACTGGGATAAAGA